TAATTACAGATATATCCATAAAAATGTTATTTGACAGGATCGTCGACGCTTTCCGATCCCCCCTAAAACTCTGGATACAAATATCCAGAGAACACGCTTCAGATAGTCAGAACCCAGAAATTTATTTATTAATGCGATTATGGATGGTTTTCTCTCCGCAGCTCGATACCTCGTAAAGAAAATCCATGTGAATGTAACAAGATATTAATGGATGCAGTTAATATTTGTATCGCATGAAACTGTATGTACAACATAACTCACCGACATGAATTAATTTCAGTTGGGCTGTAAGTTTACTTCGTACCGAAGCAGTACCAGTATATGGCCGTCTTTGTGTTCGGCATCTGGTAAATCCTTGATTTTTCTGCTAGAACACATCAAAACTATTTGTTTTTATAATTAGGTGTGAGCACTACTTAAAAAGAAAGTAATCAGTAAGTAGAAATTCATCCAACCAATATAGTCACAGTCTTTTTGCATGCAGTAATATTTTGCTGCTCCCGGAAAACATCCGGCGCGAAATCTCTCTTCAACTGGCGCAGTACGTTACCAAAAAAAATCAATTCGAGTAGTAAATACAAACTATGACCGAAAAATTTTTTTTGGTTAGGATTGAAAAGAGAAATGATCGGATAGATCGTTTCTCATTAAATATAGCAACTTCTGGGGCTGCCAAGGTCGGAATGTAAAGACTACGGGAATGCCAGATTTTCTTTGGGTTAGGCGCTACAAGTTAAAACAAACGACACTTTAATATACCTGTAATTGTGGCTACCATAGTAAGAAATAATGGGATGCAAAAGGACCCTCTTTCCTCAATTAAGAAGCTCCACTTCCGTAGACTTGATAGAGCCTATCCTGTCACAAGAGCTACTCTATCTCTCACACCGAATTCACTGATTTCCCTTGCTAGTGTGAATCGATCGACAATATAAATGGTTAAGCTTTATTTGGTTGGGGGTGCACCCTCGGGGCTGCCTGTGACTTCCACTGACCTACATAGCACGCTGTGAGATCAGGGGGGGGTGAACCATATAGCAAATACTGATGCCGTAGTTCGCACGGGGAAGCTCCGGGTTTTACTTGTTGAATTGAGCTTAAGTAAGCGACTCTCATTCACACTGGCAATACTAATAAAGAAACGCAACATTCATTCATAGCCGCCTCAAGACAAAAGCCCGAAAAGCACTTTCGTGCAACTTTTGCTGGACAGAGTAGTAAACGATGTCCTAACTCGTTGTTTAGCAAATCTTGAAAAATAATTCAAATTGATACCTACCGTAATCGTCGAATTAATGACGGATTACCATGTACTCGAAGAGTTAATGTTGTTTTACCCGTGTTTTCGTTGAATCGCTGTAGTAAAAGCGCCAAACCAACGTCGCGCACTCAAAGCCTTCCTAAGCCCCGGGAAGTAAAATCCAAAAAAAGGCAAAATTCTATCAACATGCGTAGAAATCTATTGTCCTGACCTACATCTAAGACATTGACCTAAGTGTCGTTGCGTCCGTTATGGGGGACTCGACGCCGTCTCTTCCTCCCTGGGGTTTACTGTTTTGTCGTAGAGGTAATGTGACACTGAACACGCGAATCCCGCTTCAAATGAGAAAGAATCTTAGTAATTTGTCGATTGGCCCGTGGAGGAGCACAACAGTGTAATGGGCTCGCTGTGTGCCCACTACTTTGGCATACACGTTTGCGCACGTATACGAGGAAGCGTAGTTTGCTTAAACTTAGATTAACTGTACTTACGTTTCGTAAGTATAGATTTACTTAAATAAGAAAGCAAAAGCCG